GTTAACAGCAATGTGGCATGTAAGTAATGTGGACATAAAGTCAAGGCTTCTTCTTGTTAGTGAGTGACGATACATATTTGTTACCGGGATAGCATTTATTTTAGTCACTGTATCATTTCATGGTCACTCATCAAATCTTTTGGGCTGCATATATTACATTGGCAACACCAAGTTAACCCATAAGGAAGAGGTGTTTGTTTGAACATAATGAATTTTCAATAGTTGGCGTTAGTTAATCACAGGCCTGGAGCATTCCTCTATAATGTTTTAGAGCTGACATCTTCATTAGTAAGGAAAAGATACGGAGGGGAGAAGGTTGGTCGCCATTCTTAAAATGACAACTTGTTAAGGTGTTTGTTCAGTAAATAGTATTATTCGTATATATGCTAATCCCTCTTTGATATGTCCAAATTCATTTTCATGAAGTGGGCGTTGATGAGGTTTGCCAAAAAGTTCCAATGGCCAAACCAAACAGGCCTTCAGGTCGGCGAGTAATGCAGACGGGGTGCTGTAATGGGGCAGGCACACTGTTTTCTGTGTTATAGTAATAAATCACTTCATGTGGAGGGGCTTGAACGAGTTTAAAAACACACAGGGGCCGCACAATACCTTGTCCTAAAAGCCATGAAGAAGCTCTGAAGGACCTGGCTGCTGATAAAAGCAGAATGCTTTATCACAGTGGTCTCCACAGAACATTTAACACCATGTCTGGAAAATTGTTTTAGCTGCTCCCAGGTGCAGTAGAAAGATGCTACAGAGACAAGCAGCTGCACATGTGCAAAACTCTGCAACTGTCAATGTACAACGTGATTAACCAGCAATACATTTCAGTCAAATCGTGTTAATTGTACAGCACCAATATTTCATTAATTCATTGTTTAAGCCGTGGTTGAGCCACCCGGGGGGGGGGGGGGGCTGCTTCTCCTTTGGCCTGAAATGCTCTCCCACAGTGACCTCTGACCCTTGGATTAGAAAAGAGAAACCCATCAATGACTCGTCGCTGCACCAGAAGCGATTGATGGCTCATTTTGTGGTTACCGTATTGTTATCAATGGCCATTCGCACGTTTGTACCATGCGTGTTAGAATTTGATGAGACCCGGTTTTCAGATTCACTAAGTGTTTGCAAATGTTGCATCAGTGGAGCCTCGTCTTTCTCATTAGTGCAGGAAGGACTTTGGAGAGGGATGACCAGCATTTTGGTTTTAGCCAAATCTACTTTGAGCTCTTTCATTTCAAATCAGACTGAAGGAAGTGAGTTCAAGCTTTTATCCTCTTTGGCTTAACAAACTGGACTGACGCACTATCTTGTCCAACACCAGCTTTTACATGCAGTTATTATACTGTTATTACTACACTGCTACTTCTGTTGCTTCTTCTTTAGTATCTGTCCTTTTAAAAAAGATGTTCAGTCTGTTTAATATTGTCTTCCAATTTGCTTTTTATGCAGCTTTAAGTTTGGTATATTGAAGAACATTTTACAATATTTGATGCTTTTTCAAAGCAAGATGCTTTGTTACGTTTGTCACCGTGTAGAAAAAGACCAGTTGGTTTTGGCAAAACATTCTTTCTAACTGGCTTTTGTATATTTTGGTGGAGTCTGTGATACAAAAGAGATGAAGCTCAAAGGGAGATGGACGATTTAGAACCAGTGTTTGTTACAGCAACAAAACACTAAAAAGGAGATTGCACGGTCATTTATTAAATCAAAAAAGGTGGAGTGAAGATGTAGCGGAAGAGAAGGGCAGAGGCATCTTAGTAATATGACCAGGAGTCCCGTCAATCCTTCTTAAGTGGGAGTGACAGAACTGTAAAGAGTGTCATTCACGTTACTGCTGGGGTTAAGGAGATTAACCCCTATATCTACAAGATCTCTTTCTTTTAGGTCTAAATAGTGTGGCCAGAAATGTTACTTCTGCCATTAAAATCTTCCCTTTCTGGAGCAGGGCAGAGAAATGTGCCTCATTGTTCGTGTGACTAATTGGCTGGTGGGAACGCAGGAAACTCAGAAGCAAACACTCCTTATTTTTAGAACCTACTTGTTATTTTTTTTCTTTTGGCACCGGACAATCATATCAATCACTGCCAAAGCCGGAATCTAAAGGGCTGAGCTCAAAAGTGGTAGTGTCATCGGGTCAGTCGGTCTGGAAGAGCTCTTTAGAGGCCGTATCACAACAGATTGTGAGGATGAGCACGTCTGATCAACCGCCGCCACGGCCATTATCTGGGGAAATGGATGCAGTTCAGAGTTTTATCACCATAGAAGCTGAGAACAAGGACTAGAAATATTCCCTTTCATTTTGATGAAACACATATAGACTTTATACCTGACATAATAATAACTGTAAAGGTTTCTTAATGAGGTTGCGAGGAGAACTGTCAAAAATAATAATCGACATGTCACAGCGCGAAGAAAAATAATGTAAAGAATGATTAGAAATATGGGCTATTGTTCTTTGTCTGTTTCCTCCTAGATCTATACTTTCATGAGAGGAGGAGGAAGTCTGTGTGTGTCTGTGTGTGTGTGTGTGTGTGTGTGTGTGTGCGTGCGTGCGTGTGTGCGAGTTAAGTAAAAAACGGATGGCATATTTTTCTTTTTTACACTGACCAGAGCAAATCCCAGAGTAACCCTAGCACGCACTAATAATACGACTCCCATCCATCACCCGGGACAACAACCAATTAGCACATTCCGCTTCCCCCTTTTTCTCATGTTCCTGGTTAACCCCTCAATCATTTTGGATCATTCATCAAAAAGCAGAAAAGTCAAGACACTGTATCTGTGTGTGTGTGTGTGTGTGTGTTTGTGTGTGTGTGTGTCTTTACGTGTGGGCAATTGAAGCAATGTTGTGATTTAATTGTTCTGTGAGGCTATGTGGAAACAGAGGCCAGTGTTGATGCCACCGCAGTCTGATACTCCATTCAGACCAACCCGGGTCATACCCATGTCTGTGATCTGTGTGGATGGGTCAACACGCTGCAACCAACCCTGCTTCATGTCCATCCTCCTGATGGAGAGGACGAGTGTGTGTATGGACAGAACAGACAACTAATTTAAACTTACAGAAACTTTTGCCTAGTAATTATGTGGTGTCATTCTGAATAATTCTATGGTTGAGCAGTGAAATATATCTTAACTGTGCTGCAGACTGGAGTCTCTGCTGACAGTGACAACCCATGATTAACCTGTGACAGCTGTCTCATGTCAATGGGTCCAATGCAGGTTGAATTGTTTTTAAGCACACTTGAGGACACATCACTCAACTCTCTAACAACTGAACTGAGACTTGGTATCAGACACTAAAACATCCACCAGTAGAATCAGTGAATATTTACTGTGTAATTAAATTCAACCATATCAAACTTCTACAGTAAATCCTAAGAAAAATAAAATTGTTTCAAACTTATTTTTTTCTATCATTATTCGGCTACACAGTTTACAATAAAAAAAGTGTGAGGATAGCTAAGCGTCTGATTAGATATGTTTTTATCACTACAAAGAAGGATGAAACCCTACAAATGGAAGACTTGTAGAAGTTGTCATCTTTCATTTATGTCATGGATGAATTGCTCATTGAAATAATACATTAAGATTGACTGTGTGGCTGTGGTCGTTTAGTGGTCCCAAGCATCAATTTAATTGAAGTTAGCCGGCAAAGTGTTTCTCCCTGAGAGTTAATGCGATCACATAAACAATACATCTCTTTATTGTTTACCTAGTCAAAAACACATTGTGCTATTGGGCTTTTGCTTACACCATTTGTCAGTTAAAGCAAAGTTTATATTCTCATTTGCCTGCGTTCTACAGCGACCCTAATGTAACCCTGCAATCACCATAGAAACTACTGATTTCCCCTTCATCATACCAAAGCTGAGCGGGCCACAACAAAACCAGCTCAGGACCAATTAATTCATACCAACAACAGATGCAGGTTTATCTCAGGTCCCTGCTTTGGGGCATCAGTCAGTCCTGTGGTTCGCTGTGTTCTCTTCCTGAGGCCACCCACAGCGCTGCAGCCCGGCCGGCACAAGTCTGGGGAGGGTAGGATCACACCATCTGACCTTCTACCTCTCTGGATTACACAGAAATCCCCTCTCACGCTGACACAGCCTCGCCTCTGACACACACACACACACACACACACACGCGCACAAAGCAGCGTGTGCGCAATAAACGCACATGCTCTTGCACTCATAACCAAGGATTGTATGAAGTTAATTATTTATTATTAAGGTTAATCATCTCCTTTGAGAAGAATCTCTAAGCAGAGTCTGTTAGCAATTTATCTAGATTGACAAATGTTTTTTTGTTGAAAAACGCTGAAATTTACGCCAGGGGCGGGTTGAACGTGTGTGTGTGTGTGTGTGTGTGTGTGTGTGTGTGTGTGTGTGTGTGAATGCGTTGGACTTTGTGCGAACGGATGTGTGCATGTCTACCCCTGAGTAATGGTTTTTGGGCCAGATGACTGCAATGCTACATGGATACCTGAGCCGGACTTTTCCATAGTGAAGCCCGGGGATCACATGTCCCTCCAGCCTCTGTGGTATGCACTAACAGACAGAGCTGCCAGCAGAGGGGGCGCGGGTGAAAACAGTCCTGGATGAAAACAAGTCTCTGAACACGTCGTTGCAATGATAGCCCGCCACCGAAATAGCCCCACTACCAGCCCTCTTTCTCAGAATCCTGCAGGGCGATTCAGACGCTTCTCTCGTAGTCCCGTTTCTGACTGCCAGTCTCATGCTTCAGTCCTGCAATTACCATCCCTCTTAAACTTTCCGCTGCTGTTTGAGCTCAGAGCACAGTAGTCAAACTTTGTTCGCATATAGATATACAAACACTGTAATTTTGATTCGGGCATGTTCACTGTGCGTTGGAAAGCCGTGCTGTGGATTTGCATCGTTAAAGATGTTTGTTTACATGTGACAGAAATATGATGCTTCTCCATTATATGAGTTGAAACAGTGATTTATGTGTCTCGTTCTGTCTATTTCTCTTCCCAGGGTGCCATGGATGAAGCATGTGCAGAGAGGATTGGCGATGAACACTACCGGTTGGAAGGTAAAGGCTACACCAGTTCATTCCACTGATTTTCGTTCCCTTTATTTTGATTTGAATGAAAACCTGCAACAACAAAAAAGCCCCTTTAGGTACTTGTGTGGTTCCTCTTTTACTGCCGTTCCCCTCTGCTCCACACCCATTCTCTAAGCCCCAACAATGTGCTGATGAAGTCCTCTTTACTCTCCCCTCCCGCCTCTCCACCATCTTTCATCCGCCCCTCCCCCAGTGGTGCTCTGCAAAGTGCCTCAATTCCCATCATGTTTTTCCCCGATGCGATGTGATCCCAGATTAAGAGCTCCGGGAGTAGAAAGTCTCTCCCTCCCATTTAAAGACTGGATCGGACGTGAGGCGGAGGCAAAAAAAATTCACTTTTATTTCAGCTCTGCTTCACTGGATAATAGACCTAAATAGAGAGAGACAAGAGATAACGCGACTGATAAATGGAGTACGAAATGAGTTGCCGTCATTGGGCTGAGGTTGTCCTCCCTTCAAGACAGATGTTGCTAATTAGATCACACTGCTCTGTTCATTCTCAGCGATTCACAAGACGAAGGCCCAAATCATTTGCTTCAATAAAAACATTCCGGAGATTGTGGGTGGATGTTTCCATAACAGGCGTCAAAAAAATTCAACACATCATGTTTAATTTACAAACTCATTGAGTGTCAGCTAGCGAGGAGAGGCAACTGTCATGTTTGTGGGTGGAGAAATGTCACAATACCAGAACTTTGAAGTGGGCTAAAACGAGGTCTCAGTCAGGGAGAACGGGACACAGTTGTGCTTCCCTACTTTGCAGTGTAGATGAAGTTCAGTGGAGTTGAGTTTATTCACACCAGCAGGCTGTTTTTAAGCTTTACATTGAGGAACATGGTGACAGAGTTTGGATGTTTACTAAATGAGAATTTTGTCTCCCAGAAAAAAATAGGAAATGTTTGATTTACAGCTACTCAGCTAATGAAAAGAATTTGTTAAATAAACGGTTCTTCAGTTTAGTTTGGAATAATGGCCCGAACATTCTGTACCTCAGGCCCACTTGTACCCAAATAAAGACATTTGTGGTGGATTCATGGTGCTCCCTGCACAAACTGCGTTTAGTGCTGTGATCTGATCTATTGTCCACACATGTAACAAGGACAAGTTAGGTAAAGATGAGAGAGCGAACGGTGAGAGCAGAGATGATAAGACAACCAACACACATGAAAGCCTTCTTTCCTCTGGCTTTAAGGAAGCACAAAAGAACTTGCCTGCAAAAATTACAAAGGAGGGAAGAAGGGCTCAATGATGAAAGTGTCTTTAGGTTACTTTACATCGTTACTGCCAGCATGCAAGAAGAATATCCTACATGGGATTTATATTAAGTTCTTTTAACCTTTTGTTAACACGGGGGAAAGTTTGCTGAAGAAACTGTCCATCAGCACCGTGTTTCACATTAGATTCACACGCGGGCTACCCAGCACAGTCTGGGTGATTCAGTGCCTTGCTAATGAGTACTTCAGTGGTGGCCTCTGCAGGAAGAGACAATGTCACGATCACCTCGAAGGCCATCCCAGAATCCCTTTAGTGCCCAGCACTGAGCTGTCCCAGTGTATGAGGAGGGGGACAGGCCCAGCTCTGTGTAATACAGTAACCTAGCTAAGCTGGGCGTGATTGCTCACAGTGTGTGCGGCAGATCCCCCGAACTTCCCCCGTTTCTGTGTACGAGTGCACGTGTGTGTTGCATGGCTGCTGGACAACAGGCTTGGCTTGGAGGGTGCCTGCCTGGGCTGCCCTCGTCTTGCCCCTCAGATCTGATGTGCAGCCAATCCCCTGGCTCAGCTCCTCTCATAAAGAGCCGGCTTATGTCTGTGGTGGTGGTGGTGGGGGGGTTGTGGGGTGATAGCAGATTACTGTTACTCCTCCCGGCATTTCATTAGCTCCCGAGATAAGCATCTCACTGCCGTATTGAGCCTGCTACGGAACAGATTTGCCCTCGCACACAATGTTCCCTTTGAGCACCTCGGATGATCAAACAGCGGGACCCCAAATGCTGCTCCTCTCCAAAAAGTTGGTAAAAGCTCCCTGGGACGATGCCTTTCATTTCTGGCATTTTCCCCTACCCAGGGATGAGACAGGTCCGCTTTGATCTGCTTTGGATCAGGAGGAAAGAAATTGGGCTGTTGTGTCTGCTCCGTTGGCGAGCAAACAAACAGTGTTTCAGATTTGACTTGGCTTAATTAATTAGTGATTCTGTTTTACAGCCGGTCTGATCTCCTTCCAAAAGGTTTGAGAACGGAACTTCAAAGTGTGGCAGAGGAGAGAGCGGAGCAGGGGTGGGTGGAGAGAGAGAGAGAGAGAGAGAGAGAGAGAGAGAGAGAGAGAGAGAGGTGTGGTCTGTGCGGGTTTATGGGTGTGTGTGTGTGTGTGTGTGCGTGCGCCCCGCAGGACTGTGATTGGATGAGGAGGAGCGGAGCTGATGCTCATGCAAAGCTAAATGACGAGAGGTAAAACATACAGGCTGGCTGGGAAAAGCTTCTGCGAAAATAAACATATATGAGGATGAAGCAACTCATAGAGGCTCGCAAAGGAGCCGAAGCGTACGCCGCCCAAAATCTCAGTTACACGCCGTGTGTTTCTGCGGTCTCGTGTGTCAAACAAATGCTGGGTTACAAGGCAAGGCAAGGCAAGGCAAGTTTATTTGTATAGCACATTTCAACAACAAGGTAATTCAAAGTGCTTCACATAAAACCATTAAAAGCATCAAAACATAAGGCAAAAGAAAAGGAGATTTAAAAACAATTAAGAACATTCATTGAAACATTAAAAACAGTCATTAAAACATTAAAAAACAGTGTAAGAAATAAAATACAGTAGTAAAATGCAGAAATGCAGGAAATTGATTAATATATTAATTGAATCTGGTTCAATTAAAGGCAGCAGCAAACAGAAAAGTCTTCAATCTTGATTTAAAGGAGCTGAGGGTCTCAGCAGACCTGCAGCTTTCTGGGACTTTGTTCCAGATATGTGGAGCAGAAAAACTGAACGCTGCTTCTCCATGTTTAGTTCTGACTCTGGGAACAGAAAGTAGACCGGTCCCAGATGACCTAAGGGGTCGGGATGGTTCATAAGGTAGCAGCAGATCAGAGATGTATTTTGGCCCTAAACCATTCAGTGCTTTATAAACCAACAGCAGGATTTTAAAGTCAATTCTTTGCTTGACAGGAAGCCAGTGCAAAGACCTCAGAACTGGAGTGATGTGATCCACCCTCCTGGTCTTAGTGAGGACTCGAGCTGCAGCGTTCTGAATCAGCTGCAGCTTTCTGACAGACTTTTTACAGAGACCTGTAAACACACCGTTGCAGTAGTCCAGTCTTCTGAAGATAAATGCATGGACAAGTTTTTCCAAATCCTGTTGAGACATAAGTCCTCTAATCCTTGATATATTCTTCAGGTGATAGTAGGCTGATTTTGTAATTGTCTTGATATGGCTGTTCAGGTTGAGGTCTGAATCCATAACTACACCTAGATTTCTGGCTTGGTTTGTGGGTTTTAACATCAGTGATTGAAGCTGAGCGGTGACTTTCAATCGTTCGTCCTTGGTACCAAAAACAATTACTTCTGTTTTGTTTTTGTTTAATTGAAGAAAATTCTGGCACATCCGGTTGTTGATTTGTTCAATGCAGTTACCCAGCCCTTTTATGGGATTATAGTCCCCTGGTGACATAGTTATGTAGATTTGTGTGTCGTCTGCATAGTTATGATAACACACTTTGTTGTTTTCCATAATCTGAGCTAGTGGAAGCATGTAGATGTTGAACAGAAGAGGCCCCAGTATTGAACCTTGGGGAACACCACATGTCATTTTAGTCAGCTCTGATGTGTAATTAGCTACAGACACAAAGTATTCTCGGTCCTTCAAGTAGGATTCAAACCAGTTAAGTGCTGTGCCAGAAAGTCCCACCCAGATTTTTAGTCTTTCTAGGAGTATGGCATGGTGGACCGTGTCAAATGCAGCACTGAGATCCAGTAATACTAAGACTGAACTTCTGCCATTGTCTGTGTTTAAGTGGATGTCGTTGAAAACCTTAACAAGAGCAGTTTCAGTACTGTGGTGCTGTCGAAAGCCTGACTGGAAAACATCAAAGCAGTTATTTACGGCCAAGAAGTTGTTCAGCTGTTGGAAAACCGCTTTTTCAATTATTTTACTTAAAAATGGGAGGTTTGATATTGGCCTATAATTTTTAAATTTTTCACAAAGCAGAGAAGGATATCTGGTGGCATCAGGCCTCCATCAGACCGGCATCCAATGCTGAAACTAAAATATGGAACCAGACAGGGGCAGACTACCTTACAATATAGTTCAAATCCCAAAATACACCACCATGAACTGTGGCCACAGAGATTCACGTAATGTTGGATTAACCCCAGTATGACTTAGTTTTAATGATTGTCTCACCCTAGAGAGGAACTTGTGCTCACTGATTTCACAACAGAGCAGGGTTGTTGATGCAGTCACATCAGTGGCAGACTTTAGACTTGTTGACTTGGTGTTAAAAGGAGTATTACATTTGTCAACGGGACCTTCTCCGTTTTTATCCTGTCTGGGAAATCTGTGCTGTAATAGTACAGTGAATCATTGACTCGTATGGCATAGTCAATGTTGTCAGACTCCACACAGGTGGATCTGGCCATCAGTTTAAGTGCATATGACAGGTTCTCCCGCTGGACTTTCTGCCTTTACTGTATCTGCCTTTACTGTATGTCTGGATGGTAATTTACGGTGAATGTCAATCCGTAAAGTGATGAGCTCCCATGGGTCTCCCATGGGCCTTTTCATGTTCACATGCTGTTTCCGATCCACCGTTTATATCCGAATATTCTATCATGTTTAAGACATGTTATGTCATTCAGTTTCATGTTCGACACCCCTGCTCAGTGTGAACCTCTTGGGGTTAAATATATAACGTAGCTAAGAGCTTAAAAACCGTTACTGCATGTGTGGAGGAGCTTTTGCCATTGGAGAATTCATTCTGTCTCAGTTTTTTTGCTTCTGTTGGATTGACATCTTGGATTTCAGTTCCAGTCTTGACATCAGTGTTTTTTGCTTCAGCATCACTTTGGCTCTCTGGAATGATGCAATAATGATCCTGCTACCTGACACGAAACCGTTCTACTTAAGGGGCATGTCAACTTAAAGATCAATTTAGGTAAATTAACTCAGAAGAGCACATTTTGATTGTGAGTGCCAAACTGTGCTGAGTATTGAGTATTATCAGAAATACCGTAAATACACCCTACTAGCTCAGTGCATTTGCGCGGCCAAACTAAATTTAACATTTAATATTGGTGATACTCTGTATGCATTACTTATGCTAAACACAACAGAGCCTGTGCTGCCTTTAGAAAATACTTTGTACTGTACTAGCATACAGAATATTTTTTTATAAATATTACAATTTCAGAATACAAGCAGTGAGATAAAAATGGAGGAGTTTGGCTGTGTAGGTTTATTTCCAACCAGGAGCACTTGAATATACGACACATCTTAATTGCGACTGCCAAACTCGGAAGTAGGAGCTTACAAGGAACACTTGAAGGCGACGACATATCCTCAGGTTATGACTGCACCTGACGTTTCCATCCTCAGGCTCTCCCTTTTATCTTTGCGTATGTGTGTGTGTCTCTCTGTGTGTGTGTGTGTGTGTGTGTGTGTGACTGCAGTGGCTTTACCCCCAGAGAAGACAGACAGCTGCTGTGTGGAGAAGATGCAGGAGAGGGACAGCCAATCTCCCGCAGGGCCACAGAAACAGCTCCAGTTTGAAGTGAGTGTCAACACCGAACGGGACGTTTATTACCTCCCCTCTGGATGAAACTAGGGCAGTGGCAGCACACACTAACACACACGCATGTACACGCCGGATGATACTGATAGTTCAGTGCTGCTCTGTTTTCAGGAGTTGGAGTGTGCCGTCTCCGTGGAGGAGGACAACCGACAGGAGTGGACCTTCACCCTCTACGACTTTGACAACAATGGCAAAGTCACCAGAGAGGTAATCATCTTTATTTACCTGGAAGAAAAAAGCTTGTGAATGAATGAATCAACTCATAAATAGATGTCATCAACAAAGAATACCTCCAACACCATGCAGTAGCTGTAGTAAGAATTCCTTTAACAATTATTGAACTGTTTGTGTTAATCACGTAAAATGAGGCATTTAAGACATGACATTATGTAAATTATACGGCTTTAACAAAAATGAAACAATATGAATAAAACATGTCTGAAGATGCAGATTTTCTGACTTCTGGTCAGCAGCTCACCGCTACAAAAGGACCCCCTTTTGGGTATAAGAGAGAATCAATAACTTCCCTGTAAATCTTAAATTTTCCTCTATTCTGGTATCGCCACACCCCAAAAAGAACAGGAGGATATAAGTCACAAGCCTCAAACCCAATCTCACTGCTGAGAACCAAATCCAGCGACGTGTGCGTGTTTCCGCTCCTGCGAGGTACCTTGTGGCTTGTGTCTGCCTGGTGCAGATCTGAGAGAACATCCAGAAAGGCCCGTGTTTTTTGAGAACGACTTGAAACGGCGCAAAGAGACTTGAGCTGTCCTCAGTGCGGTTGGCTGTGCAGTTTTTTTGGCATTGCCTGTGGCTCCATGGCTCATGAGACGGCAGACGGCGGTTGGAAGGGGGAAAGAAAACCTTTCTTCTGCAACTTTTTTTTTTTTTTTTTATTCCTTCACTCAAATAAAAAAAGAGAAGGAAACCGAAAATGACACAGGAAGCTTTTATTTTATTTCATTTAACTTTTTTTCTTACAGTGCGTCTATGTCTGAAACCAGTATGTGGAGCCGGTCCCTGAAGAATTCATAGTAGTCCTTTTTCTTATGATTCAAAGAGCTATAGTGAGTGAAAATGATGCCGTTTGAGTCTTTGTGTGGCGTCGGCTTAATTCTCAGCAGTTCTGTCAAAGGTGCTCTTATGGTGAAACTGTGTTACCATCTAATGTAAAACACTAATGAGATTTGAGATACTGTATGAGTCTCTCCATTTCACATCACTGCCATGTGGCATTTTTAAAAGACAATTAAGATTCTGGTTTGCTATGAAAAGATCCAGCGCACTTGCTAGCACTCAAAAAGTGAGTCATTATCTCAGTATGGTGCACAAAAACACTCACCAGTGCAAAAAATATAGCTTCTAAACAGCCACAAGAGACTGCATTACTTTATGTGCAAATGAAGCTGTCCAAATATGGCCGGTTACCTCTTTCTCAAATCAGCGTGGCATCACTTTTTAAATGCGAATGTGTAAACAGGAGTTGCTCGCTATGCAAATGTAATTTCAGTCATTTAAGAGACACTGAGGAATTAACTAGAGAAAGTGTAGCGCTCACATCAGGCCTGACATCTCAGTCAGCCTCTTCTGGTACCACCAAGACGTCTCTTTTCATGAATTCATAACTTGTCTTTACGCCGTGTCTGATGGCTTCAACTTGGAAAGCTGAGTGAGCTCCTCTGTTCTCTGTTCACAGAGTCACTTCTTTAAATTCCTAGCTAGCATGACACTTATGATACAGAGTTGTAATGCACAAAGCTACAGAATATTGAATCCAAACAGTATAGTGATACAAATAGTCTCCTGCGAGCCCTATTTTCTTGGTGTTCTTTTAAAATATCCACCTACGTCAGATTATTACTCGATTAAATGATTCTCATCTCTCTTAAATGGATGCCGTGTATCAAAAAGAAACCATTTTAAAATCTCCTCCACCTCTTCTGCCCTGCAGGACATCACCAGCCTGCTTCACACCATCTATGAGGTCGTGGACACCTCCGTCAACCATTCTCCCAGCAGCAGCAAGACGTTGCGGGTCAAGCTGTCGGTGGCTCCCGACTCCAGCCAGCGGTGGAGGAGCTGTACGCAGGGCGCGGCAGGTAAAGCTTGCATTAACACAGTGGGCGGGGGAGGAAGGGGGGGGGAGAGGGCGTTTCGGGGTCCCCCTTGTGTTGCCTGCTGTCAGCTCACCCAGAGACGTGTTTGTTGTCATGCAGAAAGGCGGCTGCTTCAGGCCTGTCAGAGCTTTGTTCCTCGCAGTCTCTGCGTCGCTCCATCTCTCCCACTCAATGGGGTTCATTTTTAATGATGGGGGGAGTGACAGAGCTAAGAGAGGGCCCCCTCCCTCAGCGCCTTCAAATACTCTGAAAGAAACCTTAAGAGATGTGCCGAGTCCTTTTGATAACCGCAGCCATTTTTCTTTTCTCCAAAGTTCCCTCTTTTCCTCTCTTCTCCCCTCTCCCCCCCCCTCCTCAGAGCTGCCGGGAAAATATAGCTACGTTAAACTTAACTTTTCTCACTGACGACTTGGTAAACAAGTAGTCAGGGAAAAATATCTCAAAAAGTATATATTCCTGTGTGTTTGCGTCCTATTGTTTTGGCTATAAATATCCGTCAAGAGATTCAAACAGAGCAAGCTTTGAAAATATCGTCGGTTGCCTTCATGCTAATTTGAAACTGCATCAGATCTCGAGTCCTGAATAAACAATTTCTGAAGTCTGCGTGTTTTATTTTTTTCATTCCATTCCTTATAAGAGGCCGGGAGTTGAAAATAGAATAAATGAAGCATTGTTGTTTTCCTTTTCTATAGATCTTCAAAGTAAAACCCCAAAACAAAGGTTGCTTTCTTCTGAGGCTTGTGTGTGTGTGTGTGTGTGTGTGTGTGTGTGTGTGTGTGTGTGTGTGTGTGTGTGTGTGGTGGCTCTGTGCAGCTCTCTTTGATAATAGCCTTGTGTCTTTCATACACAGACATGTCCCACCCCAGGGAGAAAAACGACAAGTGCATAGAAGACCCCAAGAGTGCAGACAAGAAGACTCGAGCACACCTAAGGTAAAATCCCACCTCCCTGCAACAAGTCTCTATTGTTGAAGCTCGTGGTGTCTATAAGAAGAATATGAAATCTTTTTTTCCTTCTATCACTGATTATAACATTTACTTTTTAACATAAAAAACTTCGTCTTGGGGCAGTGGTTGAAGGATTCACACTTGGGAGCTGCAATAGTTTCCTACTCTTTAATTAGTTTTGCCCAAATGCACCTCCACTGTTAACCTCTCCTCAGTACAGTGGGGGAGACGCTGCCCTCTCACTGCACTTTTCAAATCCTCCCAGTTGAGGTTTAAACCTGTGATTTTCCAGTCACAATCTCACTTCTCTAACAATTACTGTGCCCCTGCCTGATCATAAGGAACACTCGTTTTACTTTCTCCAAACACCACCATAATGAGCCTCTCCGTCCCAAACTGCTACCTAATGAGAGGTGCCGCTTGTGTCCACAGGCGCCACCACAGTGACCACCACACCCAGCCTGGCTGCCAGCGCCACTGCGTGGATGAGAACCTGGAACGCAGGAACCACTACTTGGACCTGGCAGGCATCGAAAACTACACATCCCGCTTCGGAGCCGGTGAGTGGACCGGGGCCAGGGCTTTAGAGGGGGAGAGGGGAGGGAGAAACGCAGGCCGTGGCCCTTTGAAGCTGCATCCAGGGGCCCTCATTACTGCGGCACCTGCTCGGAGCCATTAGGTGGAACTACCAGCCAGTACAAACATCTGGGCTCAGGCAAGCACAATACATCAAGTGTTCAAGGCTGAAGCACATCAACATAAAGGGCTGTTGTGAAGGGAAATATTAGGTCTAATAAGCAGCAGCCTTGATCTGACGGTCAGTGATGACAAGTGATTATGTTAATGTTGGTCCTGTTAGAAAAGTGCTAACAGAGATCTGCTCTCTGTCACATTGACTCAGGGTTATCCGCGTGAAGAAAGAACCTGAAGTAAAGCTGCCAGAATCTTATTGTGGAGCTTTTTTTTGTTTTACCAGATCTTCATTAGTGGGCTGTTGGCTCGATCATTTGCACGTAATGGCTTTTTTCCTTCCTTTTTTTCCAGAGTATTTAGTGCATTTTGACAAGTTCTGTGACAGAATTGTTTTTCTTCCTTATTTATTCTGCTTTCTCAGTTAAAATAAATACCTGTGTCCCCCTCACAGCGCCCACCCCAGAGCCGACGAAAGCAGAGCCTCAGACCCGCTCATCCAACCAGACTCGTTCTCGCTCCCACGAACCAGAAAACGGCCACTCCCATTCCCACCACCGCCGCCTACAGACTGTTGTGGACACCGTTGCTCCCGTCAGCCTCCACCCGGCCCGCACGCGAGGCCAAGACTCAGGGAAACACGCCCTCCGCTCTCCTAAGACCCACAGCCGCACACCTCCTGCGCAGATCGGTGGCAGGGTGATGCGAAGCTGGGGTGTCCCTCCTCCCACGGCGCTACCCAGCCAGACCCCGCCTCACCAGTCCACAGCCCCCTACCGCAAGCACAAGCAGCGGTCTAAGGAAAGCCAGGGCTACAGGGCCTTAGGCTCTCTGGCTCCGGGACCCGTGGTGGAGAAGGAGCAGGTGAGGGACCTGCCCAGTGTGCTGCTGTACAAGGAGGGGCTGGCACAAATGGTGCAGCGGCATGAGCATCACCACCACCATGAACACCATCACCACTACCACCACTTTTACCAGTCCTGAATTTCCGCCCTGCGTGGGACAGCTCGGCTCTTCTAACGTCCCACAAAACCCAAGCAGGCCGGCAGACACCGACTGCAGTGAGCTTTTTTCGTCAGCCGCCAGGCCACTCTACATTGTGCAGTACTGCAGTGCCTTTGTAGTTGACACGGGACGTGTGGTAGGAGAGGAGGATCATGGGAGGGGTGTCCCAGTGCTGAGAGGTTATTAATCAGTGTTATAAAGGGGTTGGTCGTACATACAAAAGCTGGGGTATGCAGCAGGACAGTGATTTAGGACCACAGCAGGACTGAGGATCACGGCGGGGGCCAGAGAGGAGGCACAGAGGGACAATTTGATAAACAACCCTGAAGATGTAATCCTCTCCCTGGTGAACTCTGCAGCTCTAAACCAGCACCACAACCCTTCCAGACCCAAAAGGTTTTTAAGGAAAAAGGAAGCACGAGAGGAAGAAAGACTGTGATGTAAAGATGAAAATATATGAAAGAATACAGGTGATAGGAGAGCCGGGCATAGTGTGTGTGTGTGTGTGTGTGTGTGTGAGTGTGAGTGTCACGACACTGGTGTCTGTTGAAAACCACTCGAAGTGCACTCATGGGTGCGTGAGTATTTAAAGCAGGCTGTTAGGCAGGTTTTTTGAAGACGAAAATGAAGATTCTGATTCAAGTACGCAATGCCACGTAAGCAAAAATGGGAAGGAAAAATGTTGAAATGTTATAAAGGAAAAAAGAACAGAGATCCCAAATCCGCTGCTACCTCTAATTTTATCCTAATTGTTAATGATGATTATGTTATGGTGACTAAGACCTCAGAGGTTATTTTCAAATTACTTAGAAACTTTTTTGAAAGAAAAGAAATGGTGTCATAATCTGCAGTAAGTGTCAAAAAGCTCCTTTCTTGTATTGACTAACATTGACTGTACATAAGGTATATATTGTTATCAATTTTATAAGCTTTATTGATAATGTGATATCTTTGTATTCCCTATCCGAAGCTTTTATGTTCGTTTTCCTTTACAACTGCTTTTTATAAGACCACTCTGAGCCCCATGTTGACTAGAACATGTACAACAGTCTCACCCTGTGACTCGATACGTAAGTGTGATCCGGTGCTTGTGCTTGAGTGACTAAAATCCCAACTCTCAGCAGTGCTGTTCAGGCGCTGGACCTCACCACGTAGTGTTTTACAGAACGCATGCTGATCTCATTGAAACATATACAAACTTCATGCTGTTCATGTCGTGCATTCAGTGCTTGTGTGTGGGTTCTGCATAAAGGTGATTTAGAAACTGAAAACATCTGGAAGAATTACAGAACATTTCTCAAAAGTGGCCGTGTAGGTTTCGCTTTAACGCCAGTCAGACAAAAGCTCTCTGTTTTATTTGAAAGTCCAGAATCACATGATCTCAGTCCCATGCTACTCTAGACATGAGATGGTGTGATCATGACATCAGTGCAATAGTCAGTTCTGGTTCAGGTCTTATTATTTTTTTAATGCAAGCCAGTTAGATGTTGGTGTATTCATTCATCAGTATGAAGTTTGGCCTTTACGGTATTTTGTTTGTTATTTATGCAGGGAATATATTTAGCTGAGCATGCATGTGATTTTTCACCCCTGCCTCGCTTCAGATCCGAGCAGTTACACGTATTCACACCGTGGAGTTGCCCAGCACAACGTTTTTCTGTTTCCTGACTTTCAGGGTAGCACTCTCCCTGACTCTGGGTCGCCCAGCCCTCGGCCTGGCCCCAGGGGGTCACACAGCTGCTCCCGCTGTTTCCATGGCATCTTCCTGTCCCCCAGCTGTCAGCAGGTCTTTCACTGTACCGCCATGTGGCCTCAGCGCTCAGCCAACAAGGCTCTGTTTGTGGCGCGGCGGGGCGGGGGCTCTTTCAGCTGTCTCATTCTTCTGGTGCTGGATAACACTGAGCCCGGCCACCAGTCTCCACTAGACCCATAACTCACCACTGTTGCTCTCCAGCCAGCACCGGGGACCGTCTCTTCTATCCCATGATGCTCTGCCATGAAACAAGTAAATACAGATGTTTCTGCCAGCAACACGTGAGGCAGTGAACTGAGATCACCTTGTTGGTTCTCCAGGATAGCAGTTCACCGTTTCCTCCCCCTTGTTCTTCATGAGCACATGTGTTCTTTTTAGCACATCCCAGCATCACATTTAGAAACGACCTGCCCTCATGCCTCTGTAGTCTTTTGTTAGGGCTTAAATGCCTCATCCAGAGAAAATGATGGATTATGCTAACCTAACCCCAAGGCCCACTAGCCTTCAAACTATATCCACCATGTTTGATTGTGTTAGTCTGCCTTAAGCGCGTGCATGTGTTTGCGATGAGCAAGAATGCAGTGAATGCCAGTCTTGCCCTCAGCCCTGCGGTGTCCTGTCACAGCTGCAGGCCGTCCTTAAACGGAGGCACCAGTCAGTCGGGTTCTCCCATGGGACCCGGCGGTGGTAATCACAGCTGTGCTCCATACCTCAGCTTCCTCACCTCACACTGCTGTTTGCTGGACAACATACAACTGTAACCCCTTTGTCAATGGTTTCCCCCCCTCAGCCTGAAACAGTGTCGATAGCGGCGTGACTCTCCAGATGTAGGTAGTGTGGAAACGGTCGTCTGACTGCGTGAACGGATAGCATGCAGGCAACCGTTCCTCCTGCAGGGTGGTCCGATTCGACACGATGAGCGAGGGCTTCTGAAGGAATTTGGGTGAAAGGCTCGGTCAGACCCTCAGCCAGGTTGCAATTTCTAAACTTCTTTCACCCCGAGAGAGTTTTACTGAACAGACGGGAACTCCTTTCTTTAAATGCCTCGCTTCACATTCGTACAATTACATGAACTCACATCAGAAAGCTGGCCACTACAAACACACTTCCACACCGCAGTCTTCAAAGCAGCATCACTGGAGCAACCGGGGGTGATATGCCTTGCTCAAGAGCACCTCGAAAGTATTTGGTGAGAGTTGGGAAAGCAGGTTTTTTTTTTTTTCTGTTTTGTCACGCAGACTTCCTTTTGAAACCTTTTCAATCTTCAGGCAACCTCTGTCAAAACCCCTCTTCTGACTTTTTCCATAACAATATATCTATATTTGGAATCCGAATAATATTGTTTTCAGTCATCAGCTATCTAAATCCACCTGAATGTTGTTTTGTTCTTTAATTATATATATTTTTTTGTTTTGTTTTTAATTGTCAGCGCCACTTTTCGGAACAAATGTTTTCAAACCATGTCACACAAACTTCAGCATCCACCCGCCTCTGTCCTGTTGTATAACATCATCAGTATTCAGAGCCACCCCTCCATATTATTATAATATGTGTTGCACCACTAATTAGCTTTTTAACATTCATGTATCAACATTTTTTTTAAACTCTGATGTATATAGCGGACTGCAGAAATGATAAACAGCATCATGTAGAAAGAAAATAAGGCTTATTTATAATTAAAAAACTGTTAATCTATTTCTCTCGCCTACTGTCAGCTAGTACTACAATACCCACCAGACTTAGCAGGGAGGAGGAGTTATCTGTCCGTCTCTCTCTCTCTCTACATGCAGACACACTTTCACTTGGTGTTTGTTGTAAAAGAAAGTTGTTTAGCACTAGCTGCTTCTCTCCCTTTTCCCTCCCTCCTAATGTTTTTTCATGACTTTGTTTAGTTTATATAGATTGTATTTGATTAATTGCTTTATTTATTTGATAGCAGATCTGTGCCAAGGGGGAAAAAATAACTTTTATTAAAGTATGACCCTGTTCCTTATAAACTCGCTGACTTGTGGGGTCACTTTATTTTATTTCTATTGTCGGTGTCGGTTTTATTGTGTAAATCTGCACAGTACATGTATATTTACAATAATTTATATGCCTTCAAAATATACCAGTTAAACATATTAGCATGTCATCTACTGTATTTGTGCTAAAACACAACATTTGCATTGTTTTATAAAAAACAAATCTACTACCAAGTGGATCTTTTTTTGGGAAATAAACATATTTGCTTTCCTGTTGAGAGTTAAATGAAAAGATCGATCAGCCTTCATACAGTCTTTTATTTTGCTTCATCCAGAGCGGAAACGGCTTGTTGCAATGTTGGGGGGTTTTCAGGTCAGATGTCCGTAGATGAAACTAGTGAGAACCTTTTTTTAAAGACATTCTCGTGATCTTTGCTTTATCAATTTATGTTGACGCATTCATCAGATATCGTCTATTTGTAATTTCTTACAAAAGGTAAACTATATGGGGCCAACCGTCCATTCATATCTATATCTATCCTCTGCAGGATCCACAAAGCACCTTTCACGAACTATATTCACACGCTAACCCACAGACGGAAAGGCCCCAACGTGTTACTGTGAGGAGCTGAGGGCCACTCCCGGGGCCTTTAGGATCAAAACAAGATGACACCGGGTATGTTTGGATGACAGAAAGACTACGATATTTGGGACAACATGTCTACTGTTGCCTTCCTGTACTAAACCAGAACATTCTGTCAATTCTCATTCAATGAAAATAATTTATCTCCAATGCATTTGCATTTTTTGGGGTGTATCTTTTCCTATTATCCACGTTTATACTCTTCATTTTTGAAGAAGTCAGCAGGATTGATGTGAAGGGTAACAGGAAACAACTGTGTGTGTGTGTGTGTGTGTGTGTATAGTAAAGTAAAGTAAAGCTCCTCTCCACTGTATCTTAACTGTGGTGTCACAGAGGGCTCCCAAATCTGGCGGACCACAGCTGCTCACCACGCCACGCTCTACATGCACACACACTTTCATCTGCAGCTTAGCAGCTTATCTCTGGTCGGGGCGACCGCAGAGAGGCTGCCTCTTGGCAATGCGATACGCCTTCCTCTCACGAACGCGGCTATTTGTGTAAGCGATGCAGTGTGACCCGCAGAACTTGTATCATCATTACAAATGGTTTCTATCCTAACAGAGCTTACAAGGATATTATTGCAGCTGCGTTACACATTTCAGCTATCAAAAGCATCCATATGAGAGGTGTAAAGTAATCCGTTGCAATTATGATGGCAAATTTACACACATTTTACTTTTGTGAAAATGTATTTTAAATATATGGTATGTAATGTATGGTAAAAAAAAACAATCCCTCCCTTTGGAACACAAGGTTTAGAAGGAAAAATAATTGGAGGTATTAAAGTCAAATTATTTACCAGAACCAACTTTTTTAATCAATTGACCATATTCTATGTTTTCTGCTGGGGTTTCAATTAACCTAGGTCTGCAGTTAACAACAGAGAAATCAGGAATGCAGGACCCATTAAAAGTACGATTTTGAGAGATCTCCATGTGGCCGGGCCTTCTACAGGCGTTGATAGATGCACTTTTAAAGTCCCCCCCCTCCCCCCTATGATAAGACGGGCTGACTTGTGCTTATCCCAGAGATTTTCTTTTTCAAAGACATAAGAGCAAGTATAGTCTTGGCTTGAGTTGTGCCATTGCATACAAATTAGGAACAATAAAGAAATGGCTCTAAACGCATTAAGTCTATTAAAAAGCACAGGAACTCCTGCAAAATCATGCTACCCATCAGAGAAACCAGCCCAGTCACGACAGTTAGCTTTACGAAGTTTTCTATTTGCTGCTTCAGGATTGACTGTTTTTTAAGAAGAAGCTGCATCTTACAGTTCAAACTGTTGGATATTCCTGAATCATTAAAGTTGTTAGTAGAATGTTATGGATGATTTTTAAATCATTTTATGAATAAAATTATCTTTATCCTGGTGAATAATATTTGCACATTTGCAGCAACATAGAAGGGAATATGACACACAATCTGCACATTACCACAGCAGTGAATGAGGTGTTGCTGCAGTTACTCGAGATACAAATAATCAGTGTGACCCACAGGTGTTCAGCTGCATTGCTTGTTCACCAACATTTTTTTGTTTGCATTGTTGAAAGTACTGAAAAAAACATTCAAAGTGATTTAAGGCATAAGTGAGCATTACTCAAAGAGAAATAGCACTGTTTCATAAGCAACTATTAAATTCCAACGCTCGCTCTGCATGAAACTGCTTTGCTATATTTGCCATAACTAATGAAAGCCATGACAGCCGAGTTTCACGTTCAGGGAAAGAAAACACAAGTTGGAGCAATAGTTCTAACCTGATCTTTTAAGGTGAAGGCACTTTATGAGATTTAAGGTTCTCCAACCACAAGCGAAACAATCAACGCAAAACCGTGTCCAAGTTAGGACTGTGTTTTGAAATGCATATTGTAGTGGTATTGTAAATCAGGGCTCTTTGTCCTCGTTAGTGATCTTTAAAAAAAAACATGCTCCAAAACTCCAAAACTTCTTGCCTTGCATCTTCATTGCACGTTTCACATGCTGTATAGCCAAAGGGGACATGGCTGTTTCCTCCTGCATCCTCTCTTCTCTGTAGCCTGCCATGAGACTTTCTTTTTTTTTTTTTTTACATTTTCTTCTTTTTTTTACTTTGACTTTGATCTGCACTCCTTTCAACTCTTCACATATGTCGGTAATATCCTTGGTGTTCATGGATATTTTCTTCTGCAGTGCAGAGTAACGGTTGGATAATGCATTCACGCCTTTTGAAATGACAGTGACTGTCTCTGTCACTGGACTCTTCATAAGTGTTTCAGGTAAAAGAGTAAGGGGGTGGAGGATATGTTTTACAAGTTGAAGCTTAAGTTTGCATTGGAATTTTGGAGAAAGATGAACTACACTCGCTTACTACATTATAATACATTTATTGCAAAAGTTGTAGAGTGGAAGGTTCACTCGCTCTGTCTGTTATCTTCTGTATATTCATCTGTAAAGCTGAAATGCCAATAGAGAGTTCAATGTCAAAAGCTGTCAATATAAAAGAGGTCAAAGGATCTATAGGTGTTGATGGATTCCTTAATTCTCAGCAAAGTGAACAAAGGTCAGCGTCTTACAACATGGGAAAACACTGTCTGTCTGGGTACATGATCATTTATAGATGAGCACTACCCACAACAATTACAGTAAACCATTACTGTGAGAATCATCCTCCAGAGGGCTGTAGAAACACTGAAGAAAATAAAGAGCAGCAGTGAGGGGAGCAATGCTCTCTCAGAGACAGCGCAGAGGTATTTAAGACTACAATCTGCACATTTTCATTTACTTACTCTAATAACTCCACCCGCACCTAAGAGGATTATGTAATTTAAATTATGGTACCAACAGTGTAGTGTAATTATACGTAACAAGTTAATCAAGGTATGAGGAGATCAACACAGTAGCATTCTGCTGAACACATGGCTTCCTTTTCGTAAATTAAAAGACTAAAATGCCTTGTTCAGAATAACAGCCCAGTCAGATTTTTGGCATATCCATTGTGATTTGTACAGATGTGACTGCTCAGATCGGAGGACTTTTGCGTCTCTGGCAAGACGACACAAGAACGGCGTCAAATCTAGAGTGTTGAGTAGAATCCATGCTGCTCAAGCCCATGGATGTATAAAGGGAACTGGATACAGCGCTGCAGGCGGGGACTCGTTCATTCCCATAAAAGTAGCTTAATGGCACATGAAGCCAAAAAAGTTCAACTTCCTGGGTGTAAAATTACTTGAATCTTCTGCATCCACGGGTTTCCTTTAAGCCCACCTCCCAAGTGCTCGGCCTTGGGCAAAAATATCTGGATTCTCCTAAAGTCTAAAGTAAAGGTAAAGTCTATTTAAGTGTCCGTAATGGGAAGTTGATTTACCTCCCAAAAAACATCCCCTGATTTACAGACGCTGTTCCTGGGGGCTTGCAGGCTCAGCAGCGGGCGATGAAGCCAATTTTCATAGTGGCCAAACCGTTGGATTTGAACTTCTTGGTCCGTTACGTGATGCCATTGGGCCATAGATTTAAATTGGGAAAGATATGTCTGACCTAACTTTGCCTCCGGTATTGCTGCTTGTAGCGTTATTGGGGGACGTGCCCGCATGGCCTTTTCGAACGTATGCCGCTTGTGTGGTCCCCGGAAGTGCTGCTTGCATTGCTCATTGACTCCAAGGGAAGTGAAGGAGAGTTCGGTGGTTACGTTAGAATATCCAGTGTCCAGCAGCAAAAGTGAACTGCAGTCAGTCATGTAATATGTAATTAGATGTAATTTCACTCAGAGAATAAAAGCCCCATCTCTGGCTTCTCCATATTTAGAGCTAACAGCTTGGCGACTGTCACAGAAAAATTCAACATTAGTAGGGACTATATTAGGATAAACCTTTCCTCTGCACGTGCACCATGTTGTATTTGTGTTGTTGGGAGACATGGGTTACAGGGAATGGTCTTTTTGCGTAGAAATAAACCCTATCCCTGTGTTGCCACTGGCAAAAAAAGCAATGATATTGACTTAAATATAGGGAAATGAGAGGCTGCCATAATATGTTCTGTGGGCTTTGTTTCCAGCAGATAGGCATAGAGCTTTGAAGTGTGGATTGGCACAGCAGGGTGCAAGCTTCTGTAAAGGCAAGATGCTAAACACTAAGGATGAGAAGGACATGAGGTAGTCTATTACCAATACAGGAGCAAAGAGGGGAAAAAAAGGCAAATCCAATGATAATGTACATCTGTTCCACTGAATTTATGAGCTTTGAACATTTTCTTCATGTGGGATAAGTGGATCCTTTTTCTAACAGAATCTCACAACTTCAAAGTAGTTTCGCTTTGGATAATGCAAATGACTGGAATATGCAGGTTGCTGCCTACTCAAGTGCATGAAAAGAAAGGAGGGAGAAAGGGAGAATTAACGCTAATTGGCACGGAAGTCTTTTATGTGTGGAAAGAAGGGCAAAAATAAAACACTTCAATTATTGTCAAGTTCATTCAATTAGGAAACGAGCTGACAAAGTTCAGTGTGCCGGACCCTCTAGCTGACTGCATCAAATGTCACTTTTAATTGTGAACAGCTCCTTTGTTATATCTGATGAAATTATAATTAGCAGGATTAAATCCACCCTATAATAACCAAGCCGGCACTGGAGAAAGAGGCTCTTTTGTTCCGCTCTGATGCAGAGGTGCCCGGGGCTTAGAGGG